CGTTCACTTCGCTGCCGCCATGTTGTACAGTTTTGACCACTAGACACGGGACCGTACCAAATCCTGAGGCTTTTACGCAAAACTGAGCATCACTCTAAAAAAAGAGATATAAAACTATTTTTTAAATATTGTTAGCCCCAGAGATCAGTGTCTATTCACGATAAAAACCCAAAATACAGCACCGCGGCTGACGACATCTAGCGGAGCAATTGCGAAGCTGCCCGATTTCTTGTCGTAAAAGCACATTTTGGACCTAAACATAACCTATCTTGTCGGTACTGTCATTAAAGATAAAGGAGGTATTATTTACGCGCGGTACTTCATTAATATTTAGACATAAACCTATAAGGTCACCTGATTAGTGGTCAAAATGTGAAACATGGCGGCAGTAAATTGGGGGTCACTTTCAGGTGCCAGTTTGTTGCTCTAGGGCCCTCTACCTCGTTGCTGGGACAGCTGATGTAAGCGCGCACGATATCCCGCGTTCTGTTCCACGTTTTACTCGCTGTAGTGGCTGTCCTACTGAAGCGGACACTTTTAAATGTGGAAACTTTTTGGGCCGATAAAGAATCTTCATGATCACATATCGGACGCCAAACAACAAAATTGCTCCTCGTTAAAAATTACGAATAACACCTGACTTCAATATTCAGATAAAAAAAAAAAGATGAAATGAACCAACGAAAATAGAAAATTATCTCTACCGCGCAAAGACGTGAGGAGCTGGGGACGACAAATGTAAATGACATTTGAAAATATTACTTCCGAGAGATACCAAGCTGCGTAAAGCCTAGGATATTATGCAGCTTGTAACTGCATAATATCGTATGCTTACCTAGTTAAAACGAAAGTTTAACTAGTTAAGCAAACCCAGAACCTAGTTGCGGATGCGGATAAAAATAGATCAAATTTGGCGGATTGCAAATCGGATGCGGATCAGATGCTGATATCCGCGGGTCCGGAGCTGGATTACTACCGAGGCTGCCCACAAACGTCCGCGACCACAGAGTACAGAGCGAATAAATGAGTGATACACCATGAAGTGCATAACCCAATGTTTTGCAGGAGTAAAGTACTCTCGTACAGAAAAAGAGTCAATAGAGGATGCAATTGTTCTTTACGCCAAGAAAAACCTGATTCTCACCAAAAGATCGCTTTGGAGCCCTCTATCTCGCCAAAAATGCCTGTAGAAAAAATAAAAAATGAAGGGGCATCAATCGTCTTGGAAAATCGTGTTTTTTTTGGCCGGGAAAGAGCGAAACATGTCCTTTGGGCAAAGAAAACCCAAAAACGTACAATCCTAAAGAAAGTAGAGCCACCTCCACAAATAAAACGTGGCGGGTGCGCGCGTTCTTTTTTTTTTCTCCAGATTTGGTTAGTTGGTGATAAGTAGGTGGTTTGAAGCACGCAGTTGGGGTCGAGTTTAAAACTGAAAGGTGCTTATGAAACATTGTGATAGTATCCGAGTGATGAGTACTTGGCTGCGTATTTGTGCTAAACGAGCTGAACATACAAATATCATCCATCCATACAAATGAGAAAAATAAGAAAATGCGTATTCAACCGCTGGACTGTGTAACGAGATTGCTCTTCCTCTTCGATTAGCTATTTTTCTTCTTCATTTGTTTCTGTATTACATAATAGTATTTTTCCTCTTCGACTAGCTTATGCTTCCTCCTCGATTTTCTCATTATTAGAAGTACCGTCGCCTCCAAGGAACGTTTTTCTATCTATTGGATGGGAATGATGAACTAACGCACTCGTTTTTTTCTCTTCCATGGCCATGGCCTCCAACACCTCGGTACGGTAGCATAACCTCGCAGGCAAACTGATTTTTGTGGCGCCCCAAGATGGTGACATGATGAAGGTTGGCATTGCACGTTGAGCGCCCACCTTTCCTCTTCCAGTTTTTTTACTCTTTTGCTTAAATAAAATGACATCCTTTTATTAGTTTGTCCTTTCTTAATTTTCGTGTTTATGAAATACGCGTCTGCTTGGTGGGGATGTTACGAAGAAAAGAAACATATTTTATTTCTTTTTTTTTTTAATTTCTGTGGCTCATGCCTGCAGAATGTCGCAGACTCCCAGGAGTATCTCAGAATTGCGATCATTTTTCCAGCGACGCGAAATGTCGCTAAAAGGATGATCGATTATAAGGTATAATACAAATACGATGAAATGACTTTCCCCGCATCTTGACTCGAAGAGTTCTTGCACAACGATAGTCAAACGGCTGACAATGTACCGTCCGACACTTTTTATTTTGAATTCACGCAAGATTTATTGATGTTACATAAATCCGCGAATTGCGAGTTGAATCCGGTTCCGAATTGTGTGGATGCGGTTCCGACGCAGATATAAAGTATGCGGATGCGGATCGGATACTCAAACTGTTATCCGCGCAGGGCTCTAGTAATCGGTCGGAGACGCGACTTGGGGGTAGTTTAGATAATGATTTGACATATTTTAGTTGAGCAAACCTGCAGACTGGCTGACTTTGCCATGGTGAGGTGTAACCTTGCTGTAGAAAAGAGCATGTATCCGGTTAAAGCGTTTTGAGAAGAAATCACGCGTTCTCAAGGCTGACAGTTTTATTTTATCATGGAAGAGAGCGCAAAATAGTCGTTGGGGATCACTTTGCCATTTTCCCCTTTGGGGGAAGGTTCATACTCAATTACCCGGTATTTTTATTTAAAAGGTGCTTTGGCTTTTAGAAGCTCAGAACCTAGGATTATATAAAATGCTACTACAGGTTATCGATTGCAGAAGAAAAGCTGCACAAAACCAAAAACAGCATGCACTAATTGACTGCACGCAACGCGATGTAGTGTGCAGTCATTAACTGCACGCTCTTCAGTCTTGTGCTGTTTTACCTCTCAGTATTATGTTAAATGTTATGTCAGCCTCATGTAAATAATATTCTGCTTGTGTCGTTCACTTTTTATTTCCAAGTCTCATTTGTTCAAAATGGCAAAATTTCATCAGCTGGCCTGTATCTTTGTTATTTCTATTGTGCCATCTTGTATAATGTACAAAAAGAACAAACAAAAATACTTCAAATTAAGCTATTATGGCAAAAGAGAATTTTGCGTTATATTTGTAATATTCATCATATGGACTAGATAAAATGTTCTAAGAATAGCAGAGTTTACATAGAACCACTGTACAAGTATCATTTCGTCCATTCTAATCGGTTTGATCTTTATTAACTGAATATGTCACGAAGAACATAAACGTACGGATCACACTCACAAGAAAATAAAAATACTTGAGTTTATATTTTCTTGACACTGTGTAGAATGTGTTAGTTCCCTGAGCATGTTGACTCTGAAGACTCTAGGGAGGGAAGTTTGTGGTACTGTGTATTCAAAGCGCTTGTTAATATACATTGAAAGTGTTTGCTTTTAAGTTTTCGTGGTGTCTGTTATTATGAATTAAAAGTGCTTGCTAATTTGTATACAACGCTCTTGCCAATGGATTAGGACCCCAGACCCAGGAAATCTGTCTACTAATGTATTTATGTCTAAAAATTATCTTGTGTTTTAGGAAAAAACATAAACGAATCAATATATAATAAACGCTTGTCGCGCGCATGGCTTCAAAGTTGTATATGCCTCGCGCAGAGCTCCAGCAAGAAACCAAATACTGCGGTCTCCCTATATAGGTGTCGATACTCTGCACGAACTAGTTCTCACAAAATGTGCACGTCAGAAACAAATAATTGAGACTTCTGAAACGTGTAGATTCTTATGATATAATAAAAGAAAACGTACCATAAATGCCATGTTGAATAATTTACCTCAACGTATAAAGAGTTATATCGATAACGCGCCAAGGGAATTCACTTTTTTTTCTATGGTTGGTAAGATGAAAACGAATATCGTTGATACTGATTGTATGCGATATCGATGACATGGTCGTGAAATAACAAACTATGGCATTCTGAATAGACACCTGCATTTTATCCTCGTTTCACCTTGAAATAATTAACCAAATGACTTGGCAGTGACAAAAGGAAAAAGGAACGGTTGCTGAAAAGCCACGGGTGCACATTATTTTTTTTATGATAGATATTGCTGTAGGCCCTCGAAACCAGGGGCTCGCCTGAAATTTTTCTTGCCATATCGCGCACGACTGTTCTTTTGAAAGATTCGTTTCCATGAGCATGGCACGCAACAGAAGCATGCACGGTTCAAACCAAAATATATATTTAAAAAAAAAAAAACATATAGGTGATTTGGCCCCGAGACTTCTATCTGTTGGCACCGAATTTAAATTTTCGTGAGTACCCTGAGGGAAAGGCAAAAAAAGCTTCCATGTACACTGTTCGCTCCAAATTGTGCCTCGCAACATCGTGTATTCTACCTTGCCTGACGTGTGCTTTGACTGAATAAATAAGTACAAACTTGGCTAAGTTCTTAACAATCAAAATATTCTACCAAGGAAGGATAAACGACATGGCTCGTTGCACTTTTCTCAACCCCCGGATAAATGTCACGGGACTAAGCGGCTAGGAGCAGTGCTCTTCGTGAAACGTGTCTGACGTCTGAAAATGTATTGGCATGAAACTCACAAGTCTGTTGCGTTGAAAATGAACAATTTTTTAAGACGGGCCGTAGCGGATGTGCGCATTCAGCCAGTATATGTATTAAAATCTTAGCGGCTGCATCGAGCTTCTCAGGGCTCGCATACTAGGATCAAATTACAATCGTTAAAATATCTCTCTGACACACAAATATCAACTGCTGCTGGGTGCGGCTGTACATACCCTGCCGAGCACGCGCGATTGTGCAGTGAAAGCATCGTTTATGAGTACCGTGTTCGTGCTTGCAGCTTTCATTTTCCTCGCACTCGGAATGAGACGGAGTCTAGCCACCGAGAAGAAAACCTCCTAACTCACCGGTTCCTCGGAAGTGCCTCATCCTCCGCCACTGCTCCCATTTCACCGCACACAGAACGGTCCCACGGAAGCCCAAGCAACGGAGCGCCCCCTGCACGTGCTAGGAGGCGTAGCCGAACCACTGGGCGAGCTCGAGGAAATGGCTCTCCTCTTCCCCGGACACCCTGGCCGCCTCCAGACTCTGCAAGAGCACCTCGCCGGCCCGCGAAGAACAGTGTCCCCCTCCACTCATGCTGCTCGAGTCCGGACTCGGGCTCAAACCCGGCTCGGGGGTCGACTCCGTGGACGGCCGGAGGTTCTCCAGAGCCGCGTCTCCGAGGACTTCTTGCAGCCGCGTGATGTACTCGACGGCCGACCTCAAGGTCTCGACCTTGCTGAGCTTCTTGGAAGCCACGGGCCAGTCCGGGAGATGCGACCTCAGCGACGCGAACCCCATGTTCACCAGGTGCACGCGCTTGCGCTCGCGTTCGTTGCGGCGGGCCACGGCCACGGAGTAGGGTTGACCCGGGGTCGGGGACGGAGTCTGGAGTTTTCGGGGTGGTGCTTTGCACCGGTGGATCAGGGCTCCTGGAGGAGACGACGCCATTCGTGCCGACACCGAGGAGTGCTGGGACGCGAGTGACTGAGTTTCGGGCGTTGGGAGCACGAGGGGTCCCGTCATTGGAGAGGGAGAGTACGGGGAAGGGGAGCCGGGAGAGGACAATGTTCTCTCTCCCTCTGGGGGAGGGGGCCTTCCCGTTCTCCCATCCGTGAATGGGACGAGGGAGGAGGAAAGTCCGCTCGCCCGTGGAGACGCCTGGGGGTTGTAGGCTGCGCCGGTCGCGGCGTCAGTTGTAGCTTGGGCGGCGTGGGATGGGTGCCTGCCCGTACGTCTCCGGTCCGCTCGGCCCCCTTTTCACGCTTACGGACATTGGTTTCCTTTTAAAGTAACGCGTCATTACTGTATGGGGTAAGGATTAAAATGTGTGTTTATGTCGCTGGTGCCGCTCAACTGTACTGTCACACGGTCCTACTCAGGCAACTCGAGTCGCCCATTGTCCCGCATCCAGTTTGACGTCTAAATAAAAGATTTTTTCGGTTGTAGTTAAGAACTGAAAGGCGTCGTTTTTATGGCTTCACCTACAGATGTTTCCAGGATTACATAGCTATTCTGAGGAACCTAGATAGCGCGTGTCGTGCATTCACAAATCTCGGGTGGAATAGTCACGTGTTGGTGCAATATGTTTCCTATCTGCGTGAATTAATCATTTAAATATACTAGTCGATATCACCACTATGCCATTCAGGTGAAATTTTAAATTATGACATAACTATTATATAACCAAATAAAGATGGCCTAAGCATCATCAACAGACCTTTGCCTCCCAGTAGTGTGTTATTACCTTTTAACGAGCATTACACGTCCGCCATATCGATTTGTATTGTTTCTACCTTCCTTTACGGGGTGCGCCATTTCTGCTCCGTATTTTAAGGATCTTGCAAAAATATTGAGCGAATCAAGTATATCTGTAAATCAAAACAAAAGTTTTTTCGACAACGAAGACTTGTACGAAGCGCTGTTGCACCTCAAATTTCTTTTTGTCATTACTGAACTGGTGGGCATACATGAATAATTGCAAGGTGCCTTTATGTGCACGCAATACAAGAGCGTTCGACAGCACAACGAATATGCGTAAACAGTCAAAGAAAATGAAAAAAAAAAATAAACAGCAGGGAATGCAAACGTATTTGCGCCTTGAGGGGGGAGGGGTACATATCTAAGTTGGAGATATGCTCTGTTGCCTTGACGACCAGAAGTGTGTGTCGGAGCGATTGTTGCAATGTCAACGAAACACTAGATAAAACTAAGCGCCTACGTCGAAAATCCCAGACAGGCCAAACCGCCTACTTTTTGCGATACAAAATAAAAAAAATAAAAAAAAACACAGGCAGGCTATATAATATTGTAGTTCTTACCTCCCTGCACAAGGTGAAATAACGTTCAGAAATGATCAACTGACCCGCCGAGTTGCAAAAGCAGTCCCAGGCAAAGTAGCGGCCGAAGCAAAAAGTAAAACCAATAAAATATATTGTACTTTTTTCACACAGAACGAGTTTAAGCGATTCCGAATAAGTGGGAAGTGACGTCCTACGTATTTAGCGGGCTGACCAGCCGCTGAATTTGGCGGAACATAAATCCCGCTAAATATGGCGGACGGTGTTTACGTGACGTCGTCAGCATGATGGTCGTCACGTAACAACGTGGCTCCACGCACTGACTTCACGTAACCTGGTCGCATGCCGTAACGGCACGAGGCATTGTGACTTGACACCGTGACGTCATGTGACATGGCCACATGGTTGATTGTGGTGTCATGTACCAGTGCTTCGAGTGACAATGTGTCACGCTAATCCAGTGAAGCTGAAAACACGTTACGCACATGGTATCCTGATTTTACCTTAAATTGAACCGTTTAAGATACACAATTTTTCTTTACAACTGGCAGCGTTACATTTTTGTGCTAGGTTACAATATAGGCTGCACTAGCTAGGTTTCTGTACTATACACTTGAGGTAACAAAGCTTCAGTCACGAAGTAAACACCAGCAGGGACTTCGACAAACCTATTCTAATCTTAGGCTATGAGTGAATTAATGCTATATATAGGAAGATATGGTCAAGGACGTTTGATCAAATAGATTTGCACTTTTTGGTATAAATTTTATGACAACATTAATATTTCTTCAGTTTTAAAATACTGCAATCTAAGTTACTAAATCTATTAAAACAGCAGCTAGCGTATCATTCTATAATACTTTCCGTGCGTCATAATGAATCGATCACGCTTACCCAAATAATAGTTTGAACAAATTAATGAATGCGACATCTTGAAGAAGTTACAACTGAAATAATAAGATGAAGTTGAATTTTACCAAATTACCACATGTTGCTTTTTTTTTTCTACCGTTCTCTTAGCTTCCAGCTTTTCAGAAAAAAAAAAAGTGTTCTGAAATACACAACTGTAATAACAAGGATGTTTACTTTAGCGTGGAGAGGCCCACTATCTACACATAATCTTTAGGTCAGTTTTTGAATGCTTAGAGTACTAGAACAAAATAAAGATGGAAAATAAAATGCAGTGAGCAGTCTAGCACCATGTTGTAAGCTTAATTTACAGCAGTATCAACCAGTCATGTTTATGCCTTTATAGTTTAAACGAGCTCTATTAAAATGAAAGCACAAAGGAAAAAATTTTTTTTCCGGTTTTTATTACAATACAAATTAAGCCAACACACGTTCTAATAATTAGTTCTTCTTTTTAATGTCTGCGATCGGCAAAGGTCATTGACGCATTTATCTTGTAGGTATTTTATATCTACAGGAAGTTAGGCACGTATATAATCGCACCAATAAAATGTAAAGTAGCGTTCATAAGAAAATAGCCGGATTTGCGAAGAGCAGGTCAAATGCGCATGAGTAAATATCAGTGGCGTTGCACTTTCATCGTTGCTTTCGAAGTAATTGTTCTAGTCTTATCAGTCCTATTTGAGTATAACATCAACCTCTCTACCAATGCCTCTGTGTGACATTTGTTACCCTATGATATAAACATTCTCCCCTCGCTTCTAATAATTATCCATCCCGTTTGCAATCCACGATCGGAACATGAGAGTCTTATTTCCAGACGCATTATAAAGAGGTCATTAGTTCGCTCGATATACGCGAGTCACGTGATTATCACAATGCTGTGACTTGCTACATTTCAGGTGTCTTTGCAGCCCAAGAATCTCTAAAATTTATCAGCAGTTCACCGCGAAACGTTGAAAAAGTTGATGTCAGACACATAAGTGTCGACATCGTTATATTTCCCGCAAGAATTATAGACAACAACAGTCTGAGAGTAATAATTAACAACTAGAAAATTAGAACCTCAGGTAAGTAAGCTTTGTATTCCTAGGCCTGGCGTATTGGTCTTTGTATCGGCTCAAATTAACCACCATCAAAATAAATTTTTCTTTTTTTTCAACGCATGAAAGAATCAGTGTTCACGAGGATTGTAAATGCCGCGCGCGTCGCTGAGCAAGCGCGTACGTGGCCATATTCATAGCCTGCATCATAATTAAAGGGAAGCTAAAGCGGTCCTGCATTTGAGTAACCACACTCAAATCGTATTCATTTGGCTTCCAGGATCACAAATATCGAGATCATTCTTCAATTTGGTGCACGGAGGCTGCAGAAGATCATCTTCAAAGTACCTCTGAAGCCTCTTTCTGTTCCCGAAGCGTTTACGTCATAAAAGGACTTTTCGGAATGTCCACTTTCGTATACTTTCAGCGCCTTTCAAAGTTCTACAAGGGCACCTTTGCTAGCTTTACAAATGTGAGAACCGGAAGTCACCATTGGTGTCAGTGCGGGAGAATATTAGCCCCCGAATGATGGAGTGGCCCCAGTTGGCGGCTTCTTGCCGTTCCGTAGACTGTGAGTGCGTAGTTTAAATTTTTGATTAGTGTGTAACTCCGCGTTTAAGTATAAATTACGTGATCGCTTTCACAAAATAGTTGAAATAGCTTGCGTGTTTCAAACAAACAGGCCATGCATGATGCCAGAACCAAAACAAACGCACGCAAATGCCCCTCCCCCCTCCCCCTCCCCCCCGGCCCCCCCCTTATATATTCGTGTAACAGACCTCGCCAACTTCGTACACCATGTTTTCTGGTCCAACCTTCTGTACAGCTAAAGCCTGACCACTTTTAGAACCCATGGTGTTAGCGAGCTCTCTCTCTAGAGAGTATTCTCGGAGAGAAATAATTGACCTTCTTAACGCATTGTATCGTATTGAAATAAGTGCGCTGGCCTCGACTGTAACACCTCGCTAAGGTGTGCACAGCGGTTCACAACGATCAGTTGCGGCAAGCCGTAGCTGAACCATTTCAATCGTATCACTCGAATTAGATTACAATTATAATGAGTTCATCGTCGTCCCCAGCGCTCCAAGGAAGCCGAACTCGAATCTGGAGCAAAGAGGCCTCCGAGCAGAGAGTAAACATTCCGCGCCACTCGCGACGCGGCTACACCTGGTGCCTGGATAAAACAAAAACAGCTCGGAGCTCGGATTGGCTCGGCTAAAAACGAGATAAAGATTACAAAAGAACCCCAGCGCACGCGACGTCCACAAAGTAAAAAAAAGGAAAGGGCCGACGAAGCGAAAACCTAAGTGCGACTACACTCAACACAACAAAACACGCGGGGGGGGGGGGGGGGGGGGGGGGGCGAAACTAAAAATAAAATACAAAAAACGTGGGCCTCTTTCAGTTCTCCTTCTTGCGCTCCGGAGAGGATAGAGAGGGTGTGGAAGAGGAGGGAGAGGACCGACGTTGCCGAAGGGAGCTCCCCGAAGCTGACAGTGCGGTGAGAACCACGCGCTCGTTGTACACACGTATGTCTACCTTTCGACGCTTGCGCCTATATCCACACGCAAACAGCGGGGGTCACGTGCTTCAATGGAAGCGTTTGATTGGTCCGCCGAGCTCGTAGCTCCCACCACACTGTCAGCTTCGGGGTGAAGGGAGTACAGCCAGGGGTTCGGGTCCCCATCAAAACGTACGT